CTTTTTTTTACAAAACATCCACCTTTATGTTTCCAACCTTCACAGTCAGTCCTGATAGCAATTACTCACTATTGTATCACAAGTCTTATCCCAATCTCCCTTCATCAGCCCTGTCCAGGCAGATTGGAAACTACTCAGTGGAGATTCCACCTTCCCCCGTACCCTCTGGAACTAGGCTCCCTTACATTTAACTTTTAAGTCCCCAAAAACTTTACTACTACAAGTCTACTGTTGACCTATTTTGTATATTTTTATATCATATACTGAACTCACATAAAAGCTACAATTTTCAATGAGATAGGTAAACATTTCACAGAAAATGCAAAGTTTTTGTGCCTGTTGGGGTATCTGCTAATGGTTTCACCAATTTCTTTTCTTTTTTTCTAAAATTGTCTTTTAAACTGGACTCATTTATCTTGAAAAGGCAGGCAAATGAAGTTGCCAGACCTCAATCTATAGGTCATACCAAGCAATTCAACTTTTTCTTATAATGTCATGATGTTTGTCTGCTTCTTAGGGGCACTTCCAGCACCATTAGTGGCACTTGTATTGGTCCCATAGTACCCTTAAGAGTTATGGCATGGCACTAACAGGATGAAAAATTCATGAAGACCATGAGCTTACTTTTTACTGCAATACATAATTTATTGGAGAGATAAAATCAGATGGTTAGGGTCACAGTGCAATTTAAGTCAAGTCTGTGTGGTTCAAACCCATGCTGTTGAAAAGTCAACTGTATATGCTATATACTAGACCTTTTTCAGATATATGATTGGTAAACATTTTCTCTCATTCTGATCAGTCTCCACAATACTGAGAATACAAAATCTCTGTATTAGGCTTAGTGCCACTTTACAGGGAGAAGTTGATGCACAGCTACTTCGTATGTGTCTTTAGAATATTCATAAGAAACTAAATTTTTTTCTATGTGAAGAATAAGAAAGAGCCTTGTATTTTAAGTCAGAGTAATTCCTAAGATATAACCTTTGCCATCAAAGAGCTTCTGTATGCTACAATCAGTGCCAAAAAGAGATATGTGGCCACAATACTACAGAGATCCAATAAGTATAATGAGAGCTTCACTAAGTCTTCAGATAGGAAGAGAAACATCAAGAGGTAGAAACTGGATCAATAAACTACAATGACTGAACACTGATTGGGTACATCAGATGTAAAACAGGCAGGAATGGGGGAGGTAAGCACTCGACGTAATGTACACATCAATTTTAGCATGAATTTGAACTACTGGAGAAGTACAAAGGTTATATACACTTTATACTTTAAATAACATCTTCATGCCTGTCAAAAGAATAAGCCACAAATATTATGCAATAAAAAATTTTCAAAATTGTGCTTAACATCATAGGGCTAACCTAAAATGGATTGGCAAAATAGTTGCCTTTACAGCAACCATTCTTACTACACACATATTTCACATTAAAGGTTGCTTGAATAGGACACATTACTTGTACTCATTGCTGAGATATCCATGGTCAAAAACTATATACGCAGTTCCTCTAAGAAACATAGTAACATTTATATTAAGTCCATTTTATCATTAATGTTCACCTTTTTTTCAGTATAACTGAATAAGTTTTCTTTAGAAATGTTCATATCTCTTTTGTTTGATCATCTTCTTCAAGTTTCCTGATTTCATTTTTTAAGCAATTTATGGTTTCACGACTTGCTTTTAATCTCTCTTTAAGCTCTGCAATTTCAAAGCTGGTTTTTTTCTTGGCAGCTTCTAATTTTTCTCGTGTTTTCACTTCAAGTTCTGCAACTAAGGAAAACAAACACTTTCACTAAGTTATTTCACTTTTTGCACATGTCTAAGATATTTCATAGAGCAATACACTATTTTGTAGGCAAACCATTCCATAATAAAATGTGGATTACTTAAGATATATAACATTAAGCATAAGAAAGCCTGAATTCCAAGAGAGATTGTAAGGTGTTTTCTATAACCAAGACTGAAATTCTGGCCACCAATATTTTAATTCATAGGTAAGATTTTAAGATACAATGTTCTCGATTTTCTTCAAATACATATTAATTTTAAAAAATCAAGGGCATATAGACCCACAAGACACTCAGCTAAAACAGAAAAAATAACTATTAAGTTTATGTGCAGGTGAAACTTACCTTATGTGCAGGTGAAACTTACCTAAAGTCACGCTGTCAAATCAAATTAATATCTTTTTTTTTTTTCCAATAAAAGGTAGCAATAACTGCTTCATTTAAATTCTAGCTCTATCAATTACTAGTTGTGAGCCTGAGTAAGTCATTTAATCTCTCTGTGCACATTTCTTCTCCAATATAAAATTACAATAGCAAATACTTCATGATATTATCTGCTTACATTTTTAAATGAATGAATCCAAATGTCATTATTGTTGTGTGCCATCGAGTCAGTTAGGACTCATACTGGCTCTGTATAAGGTTTCCCAGGCTGTAAATCTGAACAAGAGTACAAAGCTTCATCTTTCTCCTGTGGAGCAGTTGGTGGATTCAAACTGCTGACCTTGTGGTTAGCAGCCTAATGCATAATCCACTAGGCCATCGGTACTCGTTATGAATGTGTAGAGTACTTAAAAAGTTATATTTAACAACTATTATGATGATTGACAGGAGCTATAGTAGCATAGTGATTACGAGTTGGGTTGTTAACTTCAAGGTCAGGAGTTCGAAACTACCAGCTGTTCCACAAGAGAAAAATGAGGCTTTCTGCTCCCGTAAAGATTTATAGCCTCGGAAACCCTGTACAGGGTCGCTATGGGTTAGAAATGACTCCAAGATGGAAGAATACTAAATGATATATTAAAAAATTGTTGTTGAAAAAAAAAAAAAAATTGTTGTTGGCCACATATCAAATTATAAAAGAATAAGGGGGCTTCAAATATTTGTGGAGAAATTAAATGAAAAGATAATGGAATTTTTCCAGTTTGAAGCCTCCTTATATTTAAATATTCTGCTGAGATTGTTGATGTTGTTTGTTAAGTACTGTTGAGTCAGTTCCAAATCATAGCAACCTTTTATAGTGTTTCCAAGGAGCAGCTGATGGATTTGAACCGCCAACCTTGAGATTAGCAGTCTAGTGCTTATCCTAGAGCGCTACACTAGGACTCCACTAGGATAGTATAACATAATAATTTACAAAGAAAAGTGCTTACTTTCAACTCTACATTTCCATCACCTGGACATTTTAGGTAATTGCTGCTGTGGACTATTGTAGCACATTTATAAAATTTAAAGTGAACGAGAAGGAAAATCACTGGTGGATTTTTAGCAAAGGAGAGTGCTATTATCAGACTAACATTTTAATTCAGATATGATAGAATAGCGGCTAGGACCAGAGTGGTAGAAATGGAAGTGGTAAGAAGGGGTCTGATGCTGGGTCTATTGTGAATATAGGTCTATATTACATGTATATTCATTTCTCTAATTTTTAAATAATTAATTGTATTTCATAATTTATAAAATTATTGAACATCTAACTATCTTTAATTAAACCAGATGATCTAACTGGTTTTCAAGATATTATATCTGCCTGGTATTTCTTACCTCACATTCACTGTTCTTTCATAATCTCCTCACTGGTCAAGTTCTCCATCTCTAAATGTTGGTGTGCCCAAGGCTCAGTCCTTGGACCCCCTCCTTTCTAGTCATCACTCATTGATACAACTCAGTCCCACAACTTACAATTCCATCTATAACTACCAACGAGGTCTGCTGTTGAGTGCTGTCAATTCAATTCTAACTCAGTGACACTGTATAGAGTTTCTGAGGAGCATCGACTGGTAAGTCTGAAACACTCACCTTGTGGTTAGCACTCCAGTGCTTATCCTATAAAGCCACACATCTTCATGGTATACCTCCCTTCTCAACAGCTCCACTTATGTATCTTACAGGCATCCTACCTCTAACATGTCCAAAACTGCACTCCTAACCTTTCCCCACAGCCTGTTCCTCCCAAGATTCTCCATGCTCATGAAAAATGTTTTGTTTTTTTAGTACCTCGGGTACAAAACATTGACTTACCCTTCACTCATCTCTTTCTCTCATACCTCATTATTCAAACCATCAGCAAAGCCTACTGTACCTATATTCAGAGTATACGCAGAATCAGACCCCTTCTCACCACTTCCATTTCTACCACTCTGATCTTAGCCACTATTCTATCAAATCTGAATTTAAATATTAGTCTGATAATAGCACTCTCCTTTGCTAAAAATTCACCAATGATTTTCCTTCTCACCCAGTTTAATAATTTTAAGTTTTCACAGGCACCTAAATATCCCTGTAAGATTTGGTCCCCTATTAATAACCGTTTACCTTCTCTAGAGACCTGGTGTGGTGCTGTGGGTTAATGGGCTGGACTGCAATGTAGGTCTGAACCACAAGGTTTGCAGTTCATGCTCACTAGTAGCTCCTTAGAAACCCTATATAAGGACGCTGAGTCAGAACCGACTCCACCGCACTTAACAACAAAAACAACATTGCCTTCTCTGGCGTTCTTCCATTTCTCATTCTGTTATTCACTCTACTACAACACAGAGACCTCCTTGCTGAACCTCAAATGTATTAGATGGGGAAGCCTCAAAACGTTTGCCCTCACCACTTTTTCTACATGGAACGTAAGGAGGCCTCAAAGCTTTTATCTTTGCCACTCTCTACATGGAACACTCTTGCCTCAGATAACTACATGGACCAACAACTCTCTTATTCCTTTTAGGTTTTGCTCTCAAGTTGCATTCCCTGATAATATTTAAAACTCTAACCATCTACTTGCAACAAAGGTACCATCCCCCTTTTCTCCATACCACCCAGTCATATCTTGCTGTTGTTCCTGTGTCTTTGAGTTTGGTTCCAACTCACAGCAACCCTGTATAGGTTTTCCAAGGAGTGTCTAGTGAGCTTGAACCTCCAACCCTGAGGTTCAAACCGACAATCCAGCACATTAACCCGCAGCGCCACACCAAGAGTCCTCTTATGCTGTATTTATTCAGTAACTTTTGTCTTTCTCGCACTAGAATGTAAGACAGGACTTTTTTGGATACCACTCATATCCCTAGAACTTGGAACAGAGCCTGCCAATAACTGGTGCTCAAAACAAATTGTAATGAATAAATAGAGGATTAAAAGAATGACTGAATGAACAGTGAGACAAATACTAACAAAGATGGCTAATAGATTTCATCTTAAGTGCCAACTCCAAACGAGGATGTTAGCATGAATAGTGTGTAGAGGCTTCTGAGACTGACAACTCAAAGGGAAAATGAACCATGAATGTGTTTTTCAAGTTTCATCACCAAGCTGTAGAAAAGCAATGCCTGTCAGCTACAAGGCCAGCTGTTCAAATCCACAAGCCTCTCCTCGGAAACCCCATACAGGGTTGCTATCAATCAGAACTGACTCAATAGCGCTAAACAACAACAGCATCAATCTAAAACTGTATGTTGAATGGCATAGTAAAAACACGAAATAAACTGTAATACAAAAAAGTATAGTTATGATCTGAGAGGTTTTTATATAGACTTCACTAGCAAAAACTAGTAAACAGAAAATGGTTGAAGGGTAGGTTAAGTAGACTAATGAAAAGCTATGCTTCAAATGTGCTATTAGGGGATAAAACAGACGAACAAACTTTTCAGAGATTGAAGGCAGACCTACTTTGGGAACTTAAAACACCTTTCTTCCATATTCTAGAGTGTGACATTGTTGTTGTTTTTGTTGTTACGTGCCTTTGAATCGGTGCTGACTCCTAGTGACCCTGCATAGGGTTTCTGAGGAGTGATGGGTGACACTGAACTACTAACCATGCAGTCAAGCACATTAGCCCACAGTGCCACACCAGGACTCCATGCTTTTTTTTAACATCAGCAAAATTTACCTAAAGTTTAATAAGTACTAATCATATGTATCTTTCACCATAACAGAATACATTATTGTTCAAGATTAACACATGGCACTTACACTCTGTTTCATGCTTATAGGCTCCTAATGTAAGCTGCCGAGATGTTGTTAATAATTGTTGCATCATTGCTGTTGGGTCTTGAAATATCTGATGGGACAGAATGGAATACTGTTTAATAACTTCAAAGTGCTTCAACAAAAAATACTTTAACTCTCATTAGAAAGTTCTCTTACCATTTCATCATAAAATTCTGAAACCACTGTCTTTTTCCCAAGCATTGCATTGGTGTCTGATTGAAACAGCTTTAGTAAATGATACAAGGTTACCTGTGAAATGACAGTACATGTTACATCTGTCCAATTGGAGGAAGACTGATTAACAACCTGCAGTATGCAGATAATACAGTTTTGCTTGCTGGAAGCAAAAAGGACTTACAATACTTAATGATGAAAATCAAAGACTACACCCTTCAGTATAAGTAACACCTCAATGTAAAGAAAACAAAAATCTTCACACTGGACCAATAAAGAACATCATGATAAATGAGAAAAGATTAAAGTTATCAAAGACTTCATTTTGTTTGGCATCTCTATTAACACTCATGGAATCAAGAAATTAAACGGCATATTACTTTAGGCAAATCTGCATAAGACCTCTTTAATGTTTCCAAGAGCAAAGATGTCAGTTTGAGGATTAAGGTGTGCTTGACCCAAGCCATCATACTTACAATAGTCTCACAGACATGTGAAAGTTGGATAATAAATTAGTAAGACTGTAAAAGTACTGATGCAATTGAGTTACGGTGTTGGAGAAGAATCTTATTATTAAAAGTACCATGGACTACCAGAAGAACAAACAAGTCTGTGTTGGAAGAAGTACAGCTAGAATGCTCCTTAGAAGCCAGGATGGTAAGACTTCATCTCGCATAATTTGGATGTATAATCAGGAGGTACCAATGTCTGGAGAAGACCATTATGCTAGATAAAGTGGAGGATCAGCAACAAAAAGGAAGACCCCAATGAGATGGATTAACATGGTAGCAGCAGCAATGGTATCAAGCATAACAAGTGGAGGATGGCACAGGGCCGGGTAGTGTTTCACTTTGCTGGACAGAAGGTCATAATGACTTAAATCCCAGTAAGCTCCAAAAGGTGAAGTATAAACTATGATCCAGGAAGTACACTAAACTCCAAAAGAACAGCTTGATTTTCCTAATATGTGCAATCAGAAACCTAGAGAGTATGTGTGGGAATGGTTATTAAGAGTGTGGGATAATGGTGTATGGAATATAAGGTAGGATCAATCTGAGTTTTGATAGGGCCAACTAAGCACAGATTCTTTGTTCAATGTTTCAGCGCAAGAGGTTAAGAAAGGATCTAATAGTTTATTTAGCTGATTTACTGAAGCAGGGCTTGGGCAGTGGTCTGTAATACGTCAAGTTGAAGTACCAGACCTGCCTTGGTATTCTGTAAAAGAAGGAATCCAAAGGCTTCAGGAAATTGGCATTAGAACTACTTCTACCCTAGGAAAATAGTAAACCAAAAGCAATACCGCATTTCTGGAGAATTTGCAGGGAATACTGCTACAATTAAAGATTTAAAGGATTCAGGGGTGGTGATTACCATATGCCATTTTAACTCACTTATCTGGCCTATGCAAAAAAATCAAAACAAAACAAAAACCAGATGGATCTTGGAGAATGCCAGTGGATAACTGTAAACTTAACCAGGTGGTGATTCCAATTGCAGGTGCTGCTCCAGATGCCGTTTCATTGCTTGAGCACATTAATACATCTCCTAGTACCAGGTATGCAGCTACTAATCTGGTCAATGCCTTTTCTCAGTTCCAGTAAGGATCACCAGAAGCAGTTTGCCTTCAGCTGGCAAGGCCAACTATAAACCTGCACAGTACTACATCAGGGATAGATCAACTCTGTAGCACTATGTCACAATTTAGTCTGCAGGGACCTTGATTGCCTTCTCCTGCCATAAGACATCTCACTGTTCCATTACATTGATGACATTATGCTGACTGGACCCAGTACAGAAGAAGTACCAATGACTTTAGACTAATTGGTAAAACATCAATGTGATAGAAGGAAGGAAATGAACCTTCCACCTCTGAAGTTTCTAGGGTTTCAGTGATGTGGGACATGTGATATTCCTGCTAAAGTGAAGGATAAGCTATTGCATCTAGCCCCTCCCACAACTAAAAAGAGGCACAATGATGGGGTGCTACTCCAGCCTTTTTATCAAGTGGACTGGGTTTTGTCTGATTCAGAGTCAAAGCTGGATATGCACAGTAGCATTCAAGTATTAAATGTAAGTGGTATACATGAGACCAGGCTTCAGAGAACCTGAAGACACAAAAGTTGAATGAGATGTGGCCCAAATCCCATGGTCTCTACTCTTGTCACACTGGTCTCACCTTGTTCCACAAACCAAACACTGTCATATTGCCTTCCCTTCCAGTCTACACCTATGGCCTCAAGGAGAGTTCCTGATGATCAGTTGACTGAGGAAGAGAAAGCTCATGCTTGGTTTACAGATGGTTCTGTATAATATGCAAGCATCACTTGACAGTGGTCGCAGCACTACAGCCTTTTTTGGGGACTTTTCTGAAGGACAGTGGTGAAAAGAAATATTCTCAATGGGTAGAACTTCGAGCAGTGTACCTGGTTGTACATTTTGCTTAGGAGAAATGTGCAACTGTAGACTGATTCATGGTCTGTGGCCAATGGTTTTGGCTGGATGGTCAGAGATTCAGAAGGAATGTTTGGAAAATTGGTTAACAAGGAGGTGTCAGGAAAAGGTCTGTGGATAGACCTCTCTGAATGGGTCAAAAAAGTAGTATTTGTGTCCTATGTGAATGTGCACCAAATGGTTACCTCAGGAGAGGAGGATTTTAACAAGCAAATGGACAGGATGGTAAGTTTTGTGGAAACTAATTATGCTTTTTCACCAGCTACACCTGTCATTGCAAAATGGGCTCATGAATGAAGTGGCCATTGTGGCAGGGATGGAGTTCACACATGGGCTCAGTATCATAGACTTCCACTCACTAAAGCTGACTTGGTTACAGCCACTGCTCAGTGTCCAATCTGCCAGCAGCAGAAACTAATACTGAATCCCAAATATGAGATCATTCCTCAGGATGATCAGCCAGCAATCTGGTGGTGGTAGGTTGATAACATTGGACCACTTCCATCAAGGAAAGGGCACTGTTTTGTTCTTACTGGAACTGACACGCTAGATATGGATTTTCCTTCACTACAAGCAATGCTTCTGCAAAAACTACCATCCATGGACTTACAGAATGCCTTATCCACTGTCATGGTATCCCACACAGCATTGTCTTGGATGAAGCGACCCACTTCACAACAAATGAAGTATGGCCAGGTCCATGCTCATAGAATTCACTGGTCTCACCAGGTTGATCAAACATGCAATCAAGATGTAGCGATCATTACTGGTGAGTGGAATGCAAAGGTTGGGAACAAAGAGGAAGTATCAGTAGTTGGAAAATATGGCCTTGGTGATATAAATAATGCTGGAGATTGCATGA